GTGAGTGTGTGTGTGTGTGTGAGAGTGTGAGAGTGTGTGTGTGTGTGTGAGAGTGTGTGTGAGAGTGTGAGAGTGTGAGAGTGGGTGTGTGAGTGTGTTTAGTGTTATTTGTGTGAGTGTGTGTGTATGTGTGTTTAGTGTTATTTATGTGTGTGTGTGTGAGAGAGAGAGAGAGAGAGAGAGAGAGTGTGTGTGTGTGTGTGTGTGTGAGAGAGAGAGAGAGAGAGAGAGAGAGAGAGAGAGTGAGTGTGTGTGTGTGTGAGAGAGAGAGAGAGAGAGTGTGTGTGTGTGTGTGTGTGTGTGTGTGTTTCAGTGTGGCGTGTTGGGCGTCTCACATATATGGCATTCTCTGGCTGGAGTGTTTGAGCATGACACCTGACTCCAGCACCGTGGCCTGTTTTAGAAACGCAGTATAAGTCTCTATAGGAAGCGTTTGCAGCGCTGCGAGTGTTTGAGAGCTGTGTGCGTCAGACAGGAGCGTGTGAAGGTCATGTGTGTTTGCCGTACATACTCAGAAATAGCATACGTGACCCTGGAGCACAAAACCAGTCTCAAGTGCCAATTTTTCGAAATTGTGATTTATACATCATCTGAAAGCTGAATAAATGATCTTTCCATTGATGTATGGTTTGTTAGGATAGGATAATATCTGAAAATCTGGAATCTGAGGGTGCAAAAAAATCTAAATATTGAGAAAATCATCTTTAAAGTTGTCCAAATGAAGTTCTTAGCAATGCATATTACTTATAAGTTTTAATATATTTACGGTAGTAAATTTGCAAAATATCTTCATGGACCATGGTCTATACTTCCTATATTCTAATGATTTTTGGCATAAAAGAAAAATCGATAATTGTGACCCATACAAATGTATTGTTGGCTATTGCTACAAATATACCTGTGCCGCTTATGACTGCTTTTGTGCTGCAGGGTCACATATGTGGGCCTGCGTATGATTCTACAAATGCTTTTTCCATGAATGCACATTTCATAAGTAAAATGTAAAACATATACTTATTAAATTCTAATGGAGTTCACTAGTTCTAAGCCACATGTTTGGATTACATGGACAGTGAAGCACATCACACCGGACTTTTACAGGCTAAAAGAAAAGAAAAGCACTGTTGTTTACTCATTACCTTGATTGTTTATAGCTAATAATATAACATTTTTTAAAACAATTAATCTGAAATGTCAACCTTTTCATCTGATTTTGTCAATCCCTGTTGTTTTCTGTCATATAGAGACATTGTTTCTCATCTGATCGGTTTCTCACAAATAAAATCAAGTCCTGCCTATCATTGTTTTTCCTTGTTTAATATGTAAAATTATCTACAATTTTGAAAACCTAATGTCATACTGTATTTTATGGTTACTTCTTCAAAATATATATATTTTGATATATATACACTGTGTTCCAAATGATTATGCAAGTGACATATCAATAGGATTTCGGTACAAAAAAAGAGTCCGATTTTTGTTTGTGTCGTGTTCACATGTTATTTTCAGATAACTGGTATCAGTCTCAGACAGGTTTGTTCAGTAGTTTGCCAGGTCTTCTTAGGTCAATGGAAACCCTACTTAAAGAGGTTGTTCCACATTATTAAACCAGTCACAGTTCTCATGCGATATGGTGAGGAAGAAAGATCTTTCTGAAGATGAAAAGTATGAAACAATGCAATGTCTTGCAAAAGGCATCAAAACAAACAATATTTTGCGAAAAGCAAATAGAGATTATTGAACTGTCAAAAGATTTGAGAGCACAGAAGATCTTGGATCTTCTGACTAAGATCTTCTGTGCTCTAAAAAGTTATCTAAAAAGATATCACAACACAAACAAAAATCGGACTCTTTATTGTACCGAAATCCTATATACATGTATATAAGTTTGTCATTTAAATATAACATTTATAACATATAAATATAACATTCATTCTCATTATTTTCAGTTGTAATAATAATCATTATATTATTACTGTAATGTGTGTGTGTGTGTGAGAGAGAGAGAGAGAGAGTGTGTGTGTGTGTGTGTGTGTGTGTGTGTTTCAGTGTGGCGTGTTGGGCGTCTCACATATATGGCATTCTCTGGCTGGAGTGTTTGAGCATGACACCTGACTCCAGCACCGTGGCCTGTTTTAGAAACGCAGTATAAGTCTCTATAGGAAGCGTTTGCAGCGCTGCGAGTGTTTGAGTGCTGTGTGCGTCAGACAGGAGCGTGTGAAGGTCATGTGTGTTTGCCGTACATACTCAGAAATAGCATACGTGACCCTGGAGCACAAAACCAGTCTCAAGTGCCAATTTTTCGAAATTGTGATTTATACATCATCTGAAAGCTGAATAAATGATCTTTCCATTGATGTATGGTTTGTTAGGATAGGATAATATCTGAAAATCTGGAATCTGAGGGTGCAAAAAAATCTAAATATTGAGAAAATCATCTTTAAAGTTGTCCAAATGAAGTTCTTAGCAATGCATATTACTTATAAGTTTTAATATATTTACGGTAGTAAATTTGCAAAATATCTTCATGGACCATGGTCTATACTTCCTATATTCTAATGATTTTTGGCATAAAAGAAAAATCGATAATTGTGACCCATACAAATGTATTGTTGGCTATTGCTACAAATATACCTGTGCCGCTTATGACTGCTTTTGTGCTGCAGGGTCACATATGTGGGCCTGCGTATGATTCTACAAATGCTTTTTCCATGAATGCACATTTCATAAGTAAAATGTAAAACATATACTTATTAAATTCTAATGGAGTTCACTAGTTCTAAGCCACATGTTTGGATTACATGGACAGTGAAGCACATCACACCGGACTTTTACAGGCTAAAAGAAAAGAAAAGCACTGTTGTTTACTCATTACCTTGATTGTTTATAGCTAATAATATAACATTTTTTAAAACAATTAATCTGAAATGTCAACCTTTTCATCTGATTTTGTCAATCCCTGTTGTTTTCTGTCATATAGAGACATTGTTTCTCATCTGATCGGTTTCTCACAAATAAAATCAAGTCCTGCCTATCATTGTTTTTCCTTGTTTAATATGTAAAATTATCTACAATTTTGAAAACCTAATGTCATACTGTATTTTATGGTTACTTCTTCAAAATATATATATTTTGATATATATACACTGTGTTCCAAATGATTATGCAAGTGACATATCAATAGGATTTCGGTACAAAAAAAGAGTCCGATTTTTGTTTGTGTCGTGTTCACATGTTATTTTCAGATAACTGGTATCAGTCTCAGACAGGTTTGTTCAGTAGTTTGCCAGGTCTTCTTAGGTCAATGGAAACCCTACTTAAAGAGGTTGTTCCACATTATTAAACCAGTCACAGTTCTCATGCGATATGGTGAGGAAGAAAGATCTTTCTGAAGATGAAAAGTATGAAACAATGCAATGTCTTGCAAAAGGCATCAAAACAAACAATATTTTGCGAAAAGCAAATAGAGATTATTGAACTGTCAAAAGATTTGAGAGCACAGAAGATCTTGGATCTTCTGACTAAGATCTTCTGTGCTCTAAAAAGTTATCTAAAAAGATATCACAACACAAACAAAAATCGGACTCTTTATTGTACCGAAATCCTATATACATGTATATAAGTTTGTCATTTAAATATAACATTTATAACATATAAATATAACATTCATTCTCATTATTTTCAGTTGTAATAATAATCATTATATTATTACTGTAATACAGTATTTTTACAGTAATTTTTAATTTTTTAAAAATCAGAATAACTTAATTGCAGGACGTCTAAAAATAGTAATGAAAAAATATTACTGTGATGAAATAAAATAAAAACCCTTAAACTTAAATAATTGAATTAATAATTAAAAATGCTATTTTAAAGATAAAAAAATAAAAATACGGTAATTTGAATTTGAGGCTGAAAATTTCTCAGTCGACATTAAAATCAGAATTCTTATTAGATTTTAAAATTGTAAATAATAAATTAGATGTAGTACAACAAAAAAAATTTAAATAATATTTATATTATTTATTTATATTAATATTATTTTAAATAATAAAAAAATACATGTCATTTTATTGTAAATTAAAAAATAAAATATCTAAAAAAACTCTTTATTTTTTTTCTCAAAACATTAGTAGTTCTTTCTTTTGTTTTTGTGGTGACATGTACCTGACAGCTTTGATGATATTCAGCACTGAGTTCATGTTCACTCGCTCAGGATGCTGATGGTGTGTGTGTGTGTGCGTGTGCAGGGCGTGCAGCGGGTCAGTAACCCGGCGGTGCTCGGTGACGGTGTGATTAAAGCGGTGGGTCAGCGGGAGGCGGTGGTCAGCGAGGTGGGATGGATGACCTCAGTGAAGGACTGGGCCGGGGTCATGATCTCTGCTCAGACGCTCACGGGACGAGTGCTGGTGAGTCCAGCTTCATTAATCACAACTCACACTCACACGAAAACTGAACATGGTGACGTTTCTAATTAAAAGACTTAAACCACTGCAGATTATCCTGAGAGTCCAGAGACTGACTGTCTGCCTGCTGTTACACACATTCACACACACACACGCGCACGCACGCACACGCACGCACGCACGCACACACACACTCTCTCTCTCACACACACACACACAATTCTATATAGTATCGTATGTCTCGAGCAGGATAATGTATCTCTCACACACACCTTGTGTGCCAGTGTTGACTGGGCCGGGGTCATGATCTCTGCTCAGACGCTCACGGGACGAGTGCTGGTGAGTCCAGCTTCATTAATCACAACTCACACTCACACGAAAACTGAACATGGTGACGTTTCTAATTACATTGATCGGGAGGAATATTTCTGAATAAACCACCAGATTTTACAATTCAGCTCATGTTCAGTTCGTCGTGATATTGTCATGAAGGAAGAATAATTAAAAGATTAGTTTAGTCAGAAATGAATATGTTTTCATCATATACTCATATACTCACATCATGCCAAACCTGAATTTCTTTTTCTGGGTGCATAATGATGACAGAAGCTGAACTATTGCTTTAATATGATCATTGGTAAATAGTTTAATAGGCGTAGTAATAAATATACGATGAGGTAGGGCTGCATGATTCATTAAAATCATACCAAAATTACCATATGGCTTAGTGTGATTATTAAAAAGCAAAGGCTGTGATACTATATACTAGATTTTTTTATTTTTAGTATGCAGTAATACAGTTACTATTTTAATATTTGTACAATGTCATATTTCATATTTCTTTTGTAATTTTTATATTTAATAATAATAATAATTATAATATTAATTCTTCTTCTTGTTTTATTATTATTATTATTATTATTACACACACACACACACACACACACACACACACACACACACTCCTGATGTGTCCGATCATATGACTTATTTATATGCCATGAGATGCTGCTGTTTCCATGGAGTTCCATGGAATTTTTTCCTTGAAGTACAGTACAATCAGATATTAAAAATATTAAATTTAATTTATATCTTATAACATAGTTATAGTATGCATATTATATATTGTATACAGTTATATATTATTATGAAATTATATTTTATTTTTATGTATTTTTATATATTTGTTATATTTACTTTATAATATTATATTATTTCTTTATAATTTATTATATTGTATTTTTTGTTTATTCGTCTGTTTGTTTGTTTTGATTGTTCTCTCTCGGTTTTCGTTGTTAAATGAACATTAATGAACATCATTCTAAAAATACAAAAGTAAAACATGCTGGATTATGTTTCTATTTATTTCTAATAACATTTTTAGTTTGCATCTGTAGTGACAATACACAAATACAAAATATGCAATACATATCATCTGTATGTATCTGTACTGTTCAGGTGTATAACTTTAGTAAAAGCAAAGGTAATTTTATTCTTACTGTGTTTTTTAAGACAAATACCACAGTTCAATTATAGTTACTCTAGTGTGACTGTGGTTAATTTTGTGGCTTTTTTAACTAAATACTGTTGTTAAACTTAGATTTGTGTGCTAAAGCAGAGTTATTAGTGAGTGTGAGTGGGTGGGTGCGTGTGCGTGTGCGTGTGAGTGTGAGTGTGTGTGTGTGTATGTGTGTGTGAGTGTGTTTGTGGGTGGGTGTGTGTGTGTGTGTGTTTGTGTGCGTGTGAGTGGGTGCGTGTGAGTGTGAGTCTGTGTGTGTGTGTGTGTGTGTGTGTGTGTGTGTGTGAGAGTGAGTGAGTGAGTGTGTGTGTGAGTGTGAGTGGGTGTGTGGGTGCGTGTGCGTGTGCGTGTGAGTGTGTGTGTGTGTATGTGTGTGTGAGTGTGTTTGTGGGTGGGTGTGTGTGTGTGTGTGAGTGGGTGTGTGTGTGTGTGTGAGAGTGAGTGAGTGTGTGTGTGTGTGAGAGTGAGTGAGTGTGTGTGTGTGTGAGAGTGAGTGAGTGTGTGTGTGTGTGAGAGTGAGTGAGTGTGTGTGTGTGTGAGAGTGAGTGAGTGTGTGTGTGTGTGAGAGTGAGTGAGTGTGTGTGTGAGTGTGAGTGGGTGTGTGGGTGTGTGTGTGTTTGTGGGTGGGTGTGTGTGTGTGTGTTTGTTTGCATGCACAGGTTAATTCATGAGTCATTTCCTGTCCAGATTACAGCCGTGGCTCCTTATATTGTTGTTTAGTAGGAACAGTCTGTAACCATGGAGACAGCAGTAAACCTCCTTACAGCAGGTGTGTGTGGGTTGTTTAGGGGTCGAATGAACCTGCAGCTCCACACACACACACACACACACACACACATAATCAGAGATGCATGAGTTACTGTGGTTCGATCCAGGTTTTTGAGCATGCCACACATGTCTTAATTTGACGAACATGACCCGATCACATGACCCCTGCACTCAGGTGTAACCCGACTCTTCATTAAAGCTGTATTAGCTGTGACAGTGGCCGTGAGGGTCCGCAGCGATGATGCGTTTCCTGTTCCTGTGAGAGCCGTACTCCAGGGATATTTCAGGAAGGGCTGTTATTAATTCATGTGCTGTCCGGCTGTGTTATAAAACGGCTTTAATGACTCTGCTGATGTATTATTGTCATGACTTCGGGTCCTGAAGATCTGAGATGATTCAGAGACGCTGTGAGACGTTCATCTGTCATGTGTGGAGGAACGACAACGCTTCGTTTATAAAGTCATTAAGAAATACAGACATAAAGATATATAGGACTTTAAAATAAGTTTGTATTATTTTTATTTATAATTTATAATAATTATCTAATAATAGTAATAATAATAATAATAATAATTAGTTCAATTAACTTATTTTAAAGTATTATTATTATTATTATTATTATCATCATTATTATTTTAAAATAAGGTTGTATTAATTAAAATAATAATAATAATACAGTTAACTAAGATTTATACAGCCTTATTTTAAATAATAATGTTATTATTATTATTTGCCAAAATAATACATTCTGTAAAAATAATTAAAAAAAATTATTCATGATAGCTAATGGATTAATGAATTTTGGCATATAGCTAGCATTTCTTGGACTAAACACATTTGAAAAAAATAAGCAAAATATGACCCGTTTAAAGAACTTTAAGCCATAATGTGAATATTTTGGGAAAGTAAAGGAAAGTAATTCCAGCACAGCTGTGAAGCTAGAAGCACTTGGAGATGTTCTTTCTCCAGATTGACCTGATTAGATGTGATCTATCAGGACAAAACCCTGCGTAATTAAAGAGTGAACATCTGTCAGATTCAGAATGTTTCCTCTTGATGGAGAGAAACAGCAGTCTCGCAGTGTTCGAGAATAATCAAATAATAACTGTACCCCAGAAAGCATGTGTCTGAAGCGTTAGTGAGGAAGATCCTGGACTGAGATCCTGTCAGACAGAAGAGCTGATGTGGAACACAAACCTTCAGAGGAAAAGGTTAAAAGATCTGCCTGAGGAAGAGAAGAGCAGCATATTATGAAGTGTGAATCTGTGTCTGTGTCTGTGTCTGTGTGTGTCTGTGTGTGTCTGTGTGTGTGTCTGTGTCTGTCTGTGTGTGTCTGTGTCTGTCTGTGTGTGTCTGTGTCTGTCTGTGTGTGTCTGTGTCTGTCTGTGTGTGTCTGTGTCTGTCTGTGTGTGTCTGTGTCTGTCTGTGTGTGTCTGTGTCTGTCTGTGTGTGTCTGTGTCTGTCTGTGTGTGTCTGTGTCTGTCTGTGTGTGTCTGTGTCTGTCTGTGTGTGTCTGTGTCTGTCTGTGTGTGTCTGTGTCTGTCTGTGTGTGTCTGTGTCTGTCTGTGTGTGTCTGTGTCTGTCTGTGTGTGTCTGTGTCTGTCTGTGTGTGTCTGTGTCTGTCTGTGTGTGTCTGTGTCTGTCTGTGTGTGTCTGTGTCTGTCTGTGTGTGTCTGTGTCTGTCTGTGTGTGTCTGTGTCTGTCTGTGTGTGTCTGTGTCTGTCTGTGTGTGTCTGTGTCTGTCTGTGTGTGTCTGTGTCTGTCTGTGTGTGTCTGTGTCTGTCTGTGTGTGTCTGTGTCTGTCTGTGTGTGTCTGTGTCTGTCTGTGTGTGTCTGTGTCTGTCTGTGTGTGTCTGTGTCTGTCTGTGTGTGTCTGTGTCTGTCTGTGTGTGTCTGTGTCTGTCTGTGTGTGTCTGTGTCTGTCTGTGTGTGTCTGTGTCTGTCTGTGTGTGTCTGTGTCTGTCTGTGTGTGTCTGTGTCTGTCTGTGTGTGTCTGTGTCTGTCTGTGTGTGTCTGTGTCTGTCTGTGTGTGTCTGTGTCTGTCTGTGTGTGTCTGTGTCTGTCTGTGTGTGTCTGTGTCTGTCTGTGTGTGTCTGTGTCTGTCTGTGTGTGTCTGTGTCTGTCTGTGTGTGTCTGTGTCTGTCTGTGTGTGTCTGTGTCTGTCTGTGTGTGTCTGTGTCTGTCTGTGTGTGTCTGTGTCTGTCTGTGTGTGTCTGTGTCTGTCTGTGTGTGTCTGTGTCTGTCTGTGTGTGTCTGTGTCTGTCTGTGTGTGTCTGTGTCTGTCTGTGTGTGTCTGTGTCTGTCTGTGTGTGTCTGTGTCTGTCTGTGTGTGTCTGTGTCTGTCTGTGTGTGTCTGTGTCTGTCTGTGTGTGTCTGTGTCTGTCTGTGTGTGTCTGTGTCTGTCTGTGTGTGTCTGTGTCTGTCTGTGTGTGTCTGTGTCTGTCTGTGTGTGTCTGTGTCTGTCTGTGTGTGTCTGTGTCTGTCTGTGTGTGTCTGTGTCTGTCTGTGTGTGTCTGTGTCTGTCTGTGTGTGTCTGTGTCTGTCTGTGTGTGTCTGTGTCTGTCTGTGTGTGTCTGTGTCTGTCTGTGTGTGTCTGTGTCTGTCTGTGTGTGTCTGTGTCTGTCTGTGTGTGTCTGTGTCTGTCTGTGTGTGTCTGTGTCTGTCTGTGTGTGTCTGTGTCTGTCTGTGTGTGTCTGTGTCTGTCTGTGTGTGTCTG